TTGTGGGTGTTGGGTATTTTGAGAGAAAATAGAAATGAGCAATGAGAAAAATGAATAAGATGCCTTCCTTCACTGCCAGGTTTACCCCTCCTTCTCTCACCTCCCCAGCAGGGTGTGGCCATGGCCAACCTAGGATTTGTGCAGCAATGGAGAAAATCAAAGCACCTGTTAAACAGAATTTTCCAGAAGGCTCATGGAGCAGACCTCAAGGAATTCAAGATGCCCCAAGCAGCAAAGTTTGACCAAGGCTTCTGTGGCAAGGCCCCAAATATGCAAGGGCAATTTAGCTTACCTAGTCCTTCCTATCACCAAAACAGCCTACCACTCATTAAAAAAGAAAAGACAATAGCTAGAAGGGTAGGGAAAAGAAAGCTTACAGATACAAATCTCCCTTCCAGGGCTTTCTTAGGTGTTTTGTCTCATCCCAAGATTGCCTGAGTTCTTGACACATTTCATTTGTTATCTGAAGCACTAAGTACTGAAAAAGATGCTCAATACTGTTCCCAGAGAATGCAAATTCAAACTATGTTGTGATGGTACACTCAGCAGAAAGGCTCACATTAAAAAGGCTGATCATTGGTCATCCCTAGTGTTGCCAAGAATAGAGAGCAAGGGAATCTCTCCTAGAGCTCTGGTAGGGTTATACACAGTGGTTCAATCACATCTGAAACCTGCTTAGCAGCTAAGAGATTAGAAGTGCACACACTGGACTCTGCCTCAAGTCCTTTTTCCTGAGCAACGGAGACACTAAGAGAATGTTTCATTGTTATATTTGGTCTCTGACCCCAGTTCCAGTTACAGAACTTCTAAATCCCTTGGACTTCCTTGGGTGACCAAGGTAATAAGTCTTGGGCAGCTGGGTAGCCTCAGGGTGGGCACAGGTTGTCAGGGGAACACACTATGGGATTAAAGGATTGGGACTTTTAGCCCCTCTCTCCTGATCTTTGGGGAGGGAAGAGGGTGCCTTCCCAATGTGGAATTAATTACCATTGGCTAATGATGCAATTGGTTGAGCCTATGTAATGAAGCTTTCATAAGACCTCGCCCCACAATCCTAGAGCACTCTCTCTCCCCTCCTCCCCCCACTTCTTTCTAGAACAGTGAGCTCCTCAGCCAATTCCCTTGGAGAAGGGAGAGATTCCCCAGCCTCCTATCCTGTTCAGCTTTTTGTATCTCCAAATATGATACCTCTAGGCAGATGTGTGGACAGAGCTCTGTGTACCGAGTAACAATAGCCAGTGTTTATTGAAAGCTATGCCAAGGATGATCTAGGGGCTTTTCTTGCATTATCCAGTATTGCTCACAATACTGTGAGGCAAGTACTCTTTTACAGATAAGAAACCCAGGCAGAGAAGTTAAGTAAGTTGCCCAAGGTCCCACAGGTAGCAAGGGGCAGAGTCAATATCACAACCAAGGTACTGGTTGGTTTACTCTCTGTAAAAGGCAAACCAGGAGATGGCAGAACAGTATGTAGCCCCAGTCCAGGTGTGCATCAGCACAAGCGTGGGCAGGCCATCTTTAAAATGCAGACTCCTAGCCAGGAGTGGTGGCATATGCCTATAAATCCCAGTACACTGGGAGGCTGAGGCAGAAGGATATGAGTTCAAGCCCAGCCTGGGGAGCTTATCGACTTAAAGAGACTCTGTCTCAAAATAAAAAATTTTTTTAAAAAATTAAATAAAAGCTTAGGATGTTGGTCCAGGGATTTAGCTCAGTGGCACTGTGCCTGCCCGGAAAGCTCAAGGTCCTGAGATCAATCCACAGTACCCCCCCCCCCAAAAACCCAGCTTGAGATGTAGCTCAGCGTGAAGGTGCTGAATTCAATCCCCAGTGGCACAAAAAAGCAAAGCAAAACAAAACAAAACAACCCTTCCTCATGAGGACACTTGGGAGGAATGGAAATGTTCACTATTCCAATAAAAGACATGGTTTTGTGGATCTATATTTCCCAGAGTTCAGGCATTCAAGTCTCATCACACTCACTTTACTCTTATACCACCAATACTATCAAATATTTACCATTTATCTCTTTTAAAATCTAAACAAAAGAGAAACTACATTTTTTTACTGTGACTGGAAAACCAATGTCCTTTGCAATAAAGGCTGCAGTAAAAAAAAAAAAAAAGTAACCATGAAAATAAACACATAAAGATATGTCTGGGTAAATCCTCAGATCCTGGGAAGTAATCTAGATCACTGAAGTCTTTGTCAAAGATAAACAAAGCCGGATGCCATTGAGATGTGAGGGTAGATTTTAATCAGGAATCCCTGTTGTAAGAGGGAAGAGTCTGGCATGAACTGAGCTCACTTTCTATTTGCACAAAAGCAACTGGAGCTTTTCCAGGAGGAGGACGGAGGAGGGAGGGACAAACAGAGGTCAGCATAAAGGAGACCAGCCCAGCTGTGTGAGGGGGGCATGATCAAAGTTAGGCTCCCACCCTCCCACCGAGATGAGAGGTGGCCCCGTTCTCAGGTGGGGCTGGAACAGAGAGTTCTCTGGCAGCCCGGAGTTTCCTCAGGCAGGCAGGGGCAGAGAGGATAATCTTAGAGAGGTGGCCTTGAGCTGTTAGGAACTATTTCAGGCTGAGGCCTATGCCAAGAAGAGGGCTCAGAGGAGCCTGGCTAGAGTTTGGTCAAGGAGAATCTTCAGCTTTTCCCTTAGACAAAAGCAAAAAATAAAAAGTGCATCAACATCTATTGAGACCATATACAGGGTCTACACAAGGTTGAGGTAGGTACTATTAATACCATGCCTCTAACAGACTGAAGAAACTGAGGCTCAGTAAGGTGAAGCCACCTGTCCAAGGTCACAGGGCCAGGTAGAATAGGGCTTGGATTTGAACCCAATTTCACAGATGCTGGAGTTCACAGCCCTCTCTCTGCCCCCCAGCCTCTGCCCACCCTGAAGCCATCCCTTCTGGCACAGGCTCATCCCACAATGTCACTAGTCCACAGCCCTGACTCTGGACTCATGCATGAGTCTGGGCAGTAGCTTTCAGCTCTGGCCTCATGCTGGAAGCCTAGGGGAGCTCTGCATACACGATCCCCGCTTCTGACCACAGCAGCTCTGGGCTGCTGGCTGGGGTGCAACCTGGTCACAGGGGTTTTGAGGAATTTCCTGGGGCTCCCTGTGAATGGCCAGGTTTCGACTGTCTTGTCATCCCATTTGATCCTCAGGAGGGCCCTGCAAGAAAGGCAGGCAGTCAACAGTGACCCTGTCCTGGGGGGAAAAACAGGCTCTAGAGCATGAGACTCATGGTTGAACTGTGAGAGAGGATTACAGAGAGTTTAGATTAAAAATCTTTATTATAGTAAAGGACATACTGCCATGAATCCCCCTGAAGATCCTCCCCTGGCTTCACAAATACTTATCCCTTTTTCCTGTCACTTTCTGAAGCAGTTCTAGAAGTCCTTTTTCCT